TTTTTACATGTAAAATCAAAAGGAAAAATGCCGAAACAAATAGTTTCGGCGTTTTATATAAATATAAAAGTAAAAAACGTTTCGCAACATTTTTTTTAATAATTTAAAGTAAAAATGTTGCGAAAACGTTTTTATGATAAAGCTCGAGCCAGCTCGAGCCCAGCTTGGCTCAAGCCAGGATTTTCATGGCTCAGCTTGGCTCGAACTGAGCTGAGCCAAGATTTTTTGTGGCTCAGTTCATTTCAGACTTGGCTTGGCACAGATCTTCAAGCCGAGCCAAGCCAGACTGTAGCTCGGCTCGAGCCCTGTCTCTTATACACATCTAGATGTGTATAAGAGACAGGCTTTGGAAAACTGCAATCCGTAGTAGATAATGGGGAGAATATCCTTTTAAACTCTATGCACCAATCAATGATTGCTTCCTATTTTAGTTAGTAGTTAGATCATCTATTAACTTTTAAAGAAAGTTAATTTTTTTAAATTTTTTCTTCTTACTTCAAAGATATTCAGTTCATTTTCGGTATATGATTCTTGTCTGCTCATAGTATACATTTTATTAAACTTCGTGTAAAGTTCACAAAGTTCTTTACAAGTTATTTCATTTTCTTCGCTGAAAATTTCATCCAAAGCAAAAATCGCTATCTTCATAATATGACGATAGTCTGATGCTGTCATTACTTTTAGTTAACCTACTTTACTTAACAATTTAAGGCCTGGAAAACGTGGAATTTGTCGAAGACGTTTGTCGAAAATCTTCTGTAATTCCAACCCTCCAACCTTTTTTAAGATTTCCTGCGTAAACTCCAGTTGATATTTAAAAAGTCCAAGGTCGATATGATGCATATGGTCGGGAACGCACGCTTCGTAAATATTCAGATTTCTGTAAAAAAATTTATATATGTAAAAAAATTTTTACAACGTCGTCATTACTTATAAAATTTAGTGATATTTACGGAAATTCCCAGAAGGTATTTTTGACGTAATGTACAGAATACTCCTTTCCTTGTCCAGCGCTAACCATTTCCTTCATATTTTCATGAGTTCTGAAAAGTATATCTTGTTGTGTAAGTTTCATATCGTTTAAGTTATTTTGCAGAACCATACAGCATTTTACATCGCGCTCCTTTATATGTAGCGGTCTCATCATCTGCTTCGAGCATATCCGTGAGAAAAAAAGAAATTCGTGCAGCAAATGTTTTCGCTTGTCCATTAATCCCAAAACATAACGTATCAGGTTTCTTCAGTAAAGGCCAAAGCATAATATTAAAGCATTTGTGAAATATTTTACGCTGCAAACTTTGTAAAGACTTCAGTAGTTTTAATGCCTGAATCTTGAACTTTAGGCAAAAAACCTAAAAGTATTTTAGATTCTGGTAGGTTTCGAACCCAATTTGGAACATTTCCAAGCGTTAAAAATACTGGATGGCCTGATGTCTTGCCCAGTCCATCGAAAGTGGTCCCATCTGAATATAAGATGATAGACAATAGGTGATTTAATGGCGGAAGAGTCTTCTCCATTTTCAGCCACCAGTCACCTTCATATGGCTCACCAAACACTCTTGTTTCGCTTCCATCATCCTAAGAATATAAACAACCAAAAATATGAGTGATGATCTTCAGTTTCTTTTTAGTTATTCATAATTATTAAATTTACCCTTTTTTTTTTAGAATTCCCTTATAGACAAAATTATTAGCTACTTCTGGTCGTTGCAGAAGAGCTTGAATAGCGCGAAATATGAGACGATAGTAGAGTGTAATGTCAATACCGCTGTAGGTTGAAACAACTTTTTCTTTGAAGTCTAATGAAGGTGAAGTTATTTGATTGAAATGGTCTTTGCCATTTTTGGTTGATTTCGGTAATGGAGATTCTTCCAGATTGCTATATTTATTAAAGAATTTAATTATTTGATCTCCAATTTTGTTAGATATATTACCCTCTACAATTAATCTCATGAAATCTCTGTATGCATCATTTGGCCACTTTGCTAAAAGTTCTGGTAGATTTTTTCCTTCAATAGCATCTAAAGCATCATCTAACGATGCTCCTTGAAGATCTTCAGGATCTAGATCAATATTGTCAAGATTTACTGGTATTTCTGTTCCCAACTCCTCAAAATTTTCTTCAAAAATTTCTTCAGCTCTCTCTTCTATATTTTCTGATTTTGATCTTTTTCGCAGATTATAACGTGGTTCAGATTCTAAATTGTATGCATCTTAAATTGGAATTTCGTTGATTATTATATCCTCCATCTCACCAATATTATCATCTTGGTATGTGGATTTTTCATGTGAAGTAAATGTATCTGGCATTGTAATGGGTGTGTTCCATAACTGAACATCATGTTCTGGCATAACCGCTGTTCTTGATAGTTGTCGCGAGAATCTTTGAACGTGTTCACTTGGTTCACTTGGTCGAGAAGTTGTTGTTCTTCCATGGTGTTTGGCATTAGCGTGCTGTCTCAAACCGCTGGGAGTTGAAAAATATCTCTTGCAAATTTGACATTTATATCTGAACATTTTTCTTTAGAAATCAATGCGAGTTTAGAAATTAACGCAGGAAAATTTTTTCGATTAGTTTCACGCGAGAAATATTTATGAAGATTTACTTTTGGTATATTTTTTTTTTACTGATTATCAAGCGAATATAAATTTTACTGATAATTGATTATTTTTGTTTACTGAAAAATAATTAATTTATTTACTGATTAGTAATTAATTTTTTTCATTTACTGATATTTTTAATTTGGAAGTAACTGATTTTTTTACCAATTCATTAACAATTAATTTATTTAATTTACTGATCCTTAAATATATTTTAATTCAGGAGTAACTGATTTTTTAAAAAAATTCCGGCAAAACTTTTAACCTTACACAATTTTTCAATTATTTATAATGTAAGAATTTTTTCATTTTTTTTCGGTTGGCTGAATCGTCGCATATTTTTACAATTTTTTTTTCAATTTTTCGAATTAATTGTTGTTTGAATTTTTCTCCGCAATATTTTTCCTATACAAATTTTACGAATTTAGAATTTAAGTGATTATGGCGTCTAAAAGGTCAAAAAATGCAAAAAACTCAAAAAAAAGAAAGCAAGCACTTGACGTTCCTGAAGGACAAAGAAGAAAACAAGCACTTGACGTTCCTGAAGGACAGAATGAAAGCCAACAAAATATATTTGCACAAATGTTATCAGGTAGTTAGTCGTCAAGATGCTGATATTTTGCAATTTAACATTATAATTAACTTTTGCTGAACGCCAACAGTAGAATCTTCAGAAA